GTAAATATCTGGGTAATTTACTGTAACACATAATGTATATCTTAATATTTTAAAATCTACTGAAGTTAATTTTGGAAATTATTACCACCTGAAGGAAATTTTGTGTATTGAATTTAAGATCCAGTCTTGTATTTTCAGTTTTATGCTTTGTTTTTATTACTGTGGCCCTCTTTGGTGAGATAAGATGCACTAGTTTGATTTTTCAAATACAGTTTTCTGTATGATTTTTAAAAATTGTTATTTACATGCAAATACTAATACATCCAAATGATGGCAAATGTTTATTTTTTCCCCCTCTAATTCCAGGGGGTTGAACYTAAAAACTATTAGGTGCGCCTTTTGTGGTCTTCTTTTTAAAATTCTTTAGAAAAACAAGTGTAACAAATATTTGCTGGTAACAATAGTAATGCCTTTTAAACCCATAAAACAGTTTACTTTTTCTGCTTCTGAAAATCACAGAAGCAGAAATTAATTWGGCTAAAACCTATTTGTAATGGTCGTATTACTGTTGCTGGAGTTTACAACAATRTAGTATTTTTATTCTGGCTTTTCCACAAGACTAAAGTTTATGTTTAAAGCACTTTGTTGTTACAGCAATATTTTCCTTTCACACACCCTATTTGTGTTTTTCCATCATGTGGGACTGGTTCAGCAAACTGAGACAAAATCAGTCTTTTCCTTTGTAGCTTTAAATACTATATATTTGAGACCTTGCTCACTTCTACTTAGAAGTGACATTCAGGTGTCGCCCTGCTTGACAAACAGCCAGAATTACATTTAACAAATCAACCATCTTTACCCTCACACAGTTGCTCCTTAAAGTCTTTAATCACAACGTTTTATTCACATCACCATCAGGTCTCTTCTGTTTATTGTAGTTTGATGCTCTCAGCCTTGTCCTGTTGTTCAGTCCTCTTGTTCTCCTTTTCTCCCCTCAGCAATGGGCGACCTTCGCCCGCTCCTGGTTCGTCATCGACGCCAGGATGCAGCCGCCTGGCAAAATCGCAARCATATGTTGTACTATACTGCAGGGGAAAAATAAGCCTATCTACCACGCCCTGAGTGAGTTAAAGCTCAAACAACCTACACTGCAAAGTTTTTTCATACTTTTATGTAACTCGCATGATATGTTTTTCTTGTGAGGTGCTTCCGATCCAGACTGTATTTAAAGTTGCAGCAGCATAAAACAACCACAGGATGGCAGCAGAGGACTAACCAAGAATCTTTTTCCACTTTTTTTTTGGTATTCCTTGTGAATGTCTAAGAATTTTTTAGTTTTTTTTTAGCTAGAAAGACTTTTTTACTTAATGCTTTTAATTAATTTTTCCACCTGAAGCAGTTATTTGACTGGTTTCTAATGACTCTAACAGACTTTTTAATCATTAAAATGCATATAAATACATTTTGTTAGATGACARTGTAGTTAGCATTGATATTGCCCGTTATTTATTGTAAGTTAGTAAAATGCAGTTTAAAAAACTGTATTGCTAGATTCAGTTACTTGTGGACTCAAAACTTTCCTAAAACCCCTCACCAAAAATGTAATAAAGTTTGAGTAAATGTAAGCTTGATAGTTATTGAGGTAGCTGTGGATCTGCTGCCTTAGTTGATAATTTGTTGGCTGTTCTCAACTTTACATATTTTTATTGGCTTTTACTACTGTGTGTGATAGATGAAATTACTGCACATACAAACTTGTTTCAGTGTCTATATGTATAAAATCTCTGGAGAGCAATAATTTGGTTTAAAAAATGTGGGATTATTCATTATTTTACAAAGTTTTTTATTCAAGCATTTTATTTTTTGAGTGGGTATCTGTGACAAACTAAAACCCTAACCATAATGCCTCAAATCTTGTGGAAATGTATATCATCTGTCCCTGAAAGACAAAAGGAATCTGCGGCACATTTAATAGCCTTCTTAGACTTATTCTGCTATTGATGCAAATGTAAGTCTTAATGAGAAAGAGTGACTTTTTATTGTGTTTATTGGGAATAATGTGTTCACAGGTGAGTGTGGTGACCATGTTGTTGTTGTAAACTCCAGACACATTGCTTTCTCTGGGAACAAATGGGAGCAGAAAGTCTACTCGTCACACACGGGGTGAGTGTTTGGTTTGTTTTTATCTGAATGATCATTTCTGTCTCTTTTTATGTCCCGCTTATGTCATTAATTTGAAACAACGTAGAAGCAATCGTTGGTATTATTTAACGTTTTTCCTGCCGTCTCTTTGCTCAAAGGTATCCGGGTGGATTAAAACAAGTCACAGCTGCTCAGCTTCACCTAAAGGATCCCAAAGCTGTAAGCTGTAATCTCTGTTCTTCATTATATGAAGTTTAAAGTCTCTGAAACGTTCCTCTATATTTATGTTTCATACTTCACACAAATATCAGTTTAATTTCCATGTGCATCGTAGATGAATCAGATATTTTGTCCTCTTCACACGTGTCGCCCCTGTGTATTAATGACTGGTGGGGGGGATTAGGTGGCAGTGGATTTGTGCTGGTGGAGTGGGGTGCAGACCAGTGAACAGCAGCAGGGTTTAAGCTCTGCAGATGTGATGTTTGCTTGGAGGGGGCTGATGGAGAAGAAGCTGAACGGTGTCTTTGTGAAATCTAAAGAAAACAAACGAGAGAAACGGTGATGGAGAAGTGGAGATGAACTTGTTGACAGATGAGGTCCTCTTGGACTGTGATATCCACAGWAAACAAATGGAACTGTAGTGAGGGTAGGGAGCAGGTGGAAGAGAGCCTGGGTCAGTTTAAGAGATGGAGATGTTAAGACTTTGGTTTGGTCGTGTGCAGTGTTAGSCTGGCCCTTGTCTTCCTACACAGYTCCGCTCAGTTCTAGTTTCCCTTCACTGCTCCGTCTGGGGTTTCTCTCATAGACAAGGATTTCTTCAGGAGAATTTCGTTGGGGCCAATCAGAACAGAAGGCAAAGTTTTGAACGATGTCAATTTTCTGCGCAGTGTCTGSTAGTTATTTTAGCATACGGCAGTGGAGGAAGTGAATGAAGCCAGTCCGTGTTGATAAGGCTTCCAAATTAAAATAAATTTGTCTGACAAAGCAGCAGCTCTCATTTAGTTCAGTTTAGTTCAATTCAGTTTATTTATATAGCGCCAAGTCACAACATACGTTGTCTCAGGGCACTGTACATAAAAAGAACAATCTAAAGAAGAAACCAGCAGATTGTGTTGAATCACTTCATCACAGTCTCCCATCCTGAGCAAACAGTGGAGAGGAAAAACTCTCTGCTGATCAGGAAGAAACCTCCAGCAGAACCAGGCTCAGGGCAGGCCACCATCTGCCTCGACTGGCTGGTTGGAGGACAGGAAAGAGACACAGGTAAACACAGAAGAACTGGTCCAGGACTGGTCCAGGTGCACCTTCTTCTGGAAGAGACAAAGAAAAAACATGATAGAAATAATTACAATAAACATGTAGAGAAGAGAGACTAACGACAACAGCAGAGTGAAGAAATGTGCTCAGTTTGTGCTCCAACAGTCTTAAGTCTACAGCAGCAGAAATTCAGATTCATTTATTAATGACCACACAATAAGTTGGTGGAATTTGCTTACGGTACAGCATGACATGCTCACATCTCTGCGCCAGAACAAACAATGCAAACAAAGGGTGCACTAAAGGATATTAATTAATGAAGAACAACTCTAGAAACCCAATTCTAACTATATGATTCATCAAAAAGGAAAGTCTTCAGTCTAATCTTAAAAGTAGACAGAGTGTCAGCTTCACGGACAGAAACTGGAAGTTGGTTCCATAAGAGAGGAGCTTGATAACTGAAAGCTCTGCCTCCCATTCTACTTTTAGAAACTCGAGGAACCACAAGTAGACCTGCAGTCTGAGAGCGAGGTGCTCTGTTAGGAAAGTATGGAACTTTACAGCCGTCTCGTTCGGTTCGGTACTTCTCTTCTCTCAGTAGGGTTGTTTACAGCGCATGCAATTTCTGGTTAKCTYCTTAGCTTAGCCTMCTTCACAGCGACATACGTCGCGGCCAACTGATCCAATCATTTTAAACTTCARCAGAGGCCACGCCTCCAGCAAGAATCACTTCTCTATAGCTGAGAGTCCAGCCCCTCGTATGAATTGAAGCGAAGAACAAGGGGCTGATTTTACCAGGCTGGTGCAGTGGAGGAGTAGTGGTTAGTGGACAGAGGGTGTTGAATATGGAGCTGATGATTATTTTATACATATATTGAAAATCTTCATCTATTTTCTTTACCCACTGTTTCCTCTCTTGGTCCCAGGATTTATTATTTATTTCCCGTTACTTTACCAGGCAAGTCCCAATGAGATCTCAGATCTCTTTTTCAAGGGAGGCCTGGGCCTGAAGGCAACCTATTGTACATGTTTTGGGAGGTGGGGGAAACCGGAGTACCTGGAGAAAACCCACRCGAGCACGAAGAGAACATGCAAACTCCRCACAGAAAGACTCCAGGTCCGAACCGGGGATCGAACCCAGGACCTTCTTGCTRTGAGGCGTCGGTGCTAACCACTGAGCCGTCGTGCCGCCAGGATACCTGGTTCCTATCTTCATCAGTCACTATGTGAGGGGCGGGGGACACCCTGGACGTGTCACCAGTCCATCACAGGGACACGTAGAGAAAAACAACATTCACTGTCTCTCACACCTAGGGACAGTCTGGAGTTGCCAACTAAAGGAACAGGCATGTTTTTGGTCTTTGGGCCTGGAGGTGAACCTGCCACATTTTTGTGAAGCAAAAGCTCCAACCACTGCATTATTATTATTATTGCGTCAGATTGTTGTCTGGTAACTTTATTTTAATGTTTGACTGATCTGAGATTCTGATCCCTCAGAAACATTTCAACACTAAACAGCAACAGCAGTAAAAGAGCGATCCAATTTGTTTATGCATGCAACTAGTGTAAGTRAATAAGCAAGTCCCAGTTCAGAACCAATGAAATCAGGTGATCAGCCTGCTCTGGTCTCCAGTCTGTGAGTGAAAACCTCAGGAGAAACATTTTTTCTGCTGTTGGCTCTGCTGCTGAGGCAGGTTTCAGACTTGAATCCTGATGGAGGTTTTAGTACAAATGAGCTCCGGAGCAAAGAGGGAAGAGGTTTGTCAGCACTGCCTCTGTCCAACGTCTGAGTCCAGAGAATCAGYCTCCTCACTTTACAAAACATGCTTCTGTCCTCCAGGAAAACACAGAGCGTGTGYTTGTGGTTGCTATAGGAACTTTACAACTCGAGGACCAGGGTTAGTGTGTTTCATCTGTCTCGTTTTGCTTCTTCTCCACAGATAGTGAAGCTGGCGGTTTACGGCATGCTGCCCAAAAACTTGCACCGACGCTCCATGATGCAGCGTTTACACATCTTTCCTGAAGATGTAAGTTGAGTTTCACCTCATTGCTCTGAGCTGTTAGTCTGCAGGATCCTTCTTCATGCATGTTCTAAACCCAGTAGGAAGTACTCCCTTATTTTGCAGCTTCTGCCTCACGTTAAGGTTTTTTCCATCATGAGTGGAAACCTTCTTTGACACAAATGTATAAATGTATAATCATCAAACATATGAATACATCGTATTAATGTCTCCCACCCAATGCATGGAGCTGTTGCTGAGCTGCAGAGCTCCTTCAGTGTCAGACTGCTGCATCCTGAATGCACAAAGGAGCGTTACTGCAGATCATTCCTCCTATCAGCTGTTAGACTCTATAACATCACTGCTCGCAACAATAAGCATCTATGTTTGTGTTTTCACATCAAACAACTCTACCTCTCAGTCATTACATAAATAATAACCAGTGGCAATTGTACATCGTGTTTCCTGTACTGGACTTAATGGCTGAGTTTGACTCATTTTGCACACCCCCTCGGATCATGAGTGCGTCATGACAGTTTTTTCCTGTAATTTCATATTTTTTCTGCACAGTGTTTTGCTTTTATCTTCATTTTTTATCAAACTTCATCTTGACAGTTCGGTACAGTAATTATTATTCTTATTTTTATTTTGATCTATGTTTATTTTTTATTGTTACTATCTTTAATTCTATTATTATTGCTACAGTTGATAATGTCACATAGCAATACACTGTTTCTGTGGACTGATGAATGTATGTGCTTCTGCTACTACACCTGAATTTCCCTGCACAGGACAATAAAGGCCTATTCTATTCTATTCTATTCTATTCTATTCTATTCTATTCTATTCTATTCTATTCTATTCTATTCTATTCTATTCTATTCTATTCTATTCTATTCTATTCTATTCTATTCTATTCTATTCTATTYACTTAATATTTGTAAAATGTTGCTCAAGTGACTAATGTTAGCCTGAGTGGATCAGCAGTGACACTCAGATTTTACTGATCCAAACTGCGACAAAGAAATTACATCATTTTTACATTTTTCTACTTGGGCTCATTTCATTTGTGCAAGAAGTACTGAAACACTGAACAGTTTAACACGAGCATTCAAAAGTTTAGAGGTCACATTAGGTTCATCCTGAAATTTCACCCAAAAGCCAAACATCCCTAACTTTTTATAAGTGGCGTATATTAACAGTGAGAATCTATACCGTAAGCTAAAATGATCTCCTGACTCTGCAAGTTCACCTCAGCTCTCCTTTACTGTCCTCAGATTTTTTTTCTGAAGCTGTTCAGCAAAAAAAAAAAAGAAAAAAAAAGGAGACAATCGCTGAGCTACAGTACCTGACCAGAATCAGAAGCTAACAGAGAATTAGTCTCACTGTGGTGAGCTCTGTGGTGTAGCAGCTAAAGAGACTTCCCTCAGAGGTTTGTGTAAACCWGAACTGAGTTACAAACAAGCTAACAGCAATTTCACAGTTAAACATGTGCTTAAATGATTTTTGGCCTAAAATGTTTTTATTCTGGCTGCATTTCTTTCAAATGAACCGGTGCAGCACACTGGTGGTGGTTCAGATTGCTTTTATATTATGTTTGCGACATGACAGCAGAGATAAACGAATATAGAGGGAAGTATTTCTGACATTATTTCAGAGCACAAAATGTCTGTCTGGTATTGGCATGCCTTTTGTTTTAGTGAAAATTTGAGCAGGTTTAAAACAAGCTTCCTGCTCCTTTCCATGTCTGCTGTTAATCTGCCACTCAGAACAATCAGTGCAACAGTTTTTTTAACACCCTTTTGAAAGTTAGTTGTTTTTTTCTTTTTAAGCTGTTTTTGTCTCTTCTCTGAGCTGATGAACCTGTTGGACCCTGCTGTCATGAATATTTAAAGGATTATCAGTGAAGAATGATGGACCCGAACACTRTTTCATCTTTGAATAAAAAACAAATCTACTTCAGGGGTTTAAATCCTAATCCTTGTTGTTTTGTGGACTAAAACATCTCCATCGTCTCTGCTGCTCAGGAGATACCGGATGATATTCGAGCCAACCTGACAGAGGAGCTTTTTCAACCTCGAGAGATTCCAAAGAGACTCGACGAGTACACTCAGGAGGAGATTGATGCCTTCCCCAGGCTGTTCACGCTGTACGTAAAACCTTTCATGATGAAACAAACGCAGGTTTTTGTGTCTGAAGACGAGCCAGCAATTATATTCACTTTTACTGGAGGTATAACTTCACAAATTTCAGTATTATTAAAAACATTACATGTAAATAAAAAACATTAATAATTTGGGTTCAGCTCCAGTATCTGTCCTTGTAATGACATTTCACAGCAGCATAAATTCAACCAGCTACTGTAAGTTGATAAACATACATTTAAAAGCAAATTCTTAGAGCGTGATAAATTTCCAAACTCTACCGTCTCCGTGTTTCTGTTGAGTTTGCTGATGGTGCTTTGAATTCTGGGATATTGTTGGCTGCGTAGGATACTCAGATGCAGCCCACGTTTTTGTGCTTTTATTGGCTGCATGAGTACGGGCCTGCGATGTGGGACAGCCTACAGCGCGGCGCGGTGATGGAAGTGGCTGACAAACATCAAGAATGTATTTGTAAATCTAAATTTAGTGTCTTAGTTGATGAAATGTATGCTGCAATAAGATGCTAAATAAAATGTTACAAGTACTGATACTGGAGCTAAACCCAAACTATCAACAGGTTTTGTTTGTTTACATGTGATGTATTTTTGTGAAGTTATTCCTTCTGTGAAGTCCCAATGCATTTTAAGTCTGAAGACGTGATAGAAAACCAGTCATTATGATAACAGGGCAACACGTGATCACGCCAACTTATGTCATGCAAAGGCGAGACCATCTCGTTTCACAGCTGTTTTATGCAGCCTATAGGTAGGTAGATAGGTTGCAGCCTATAGGTAGGTAGATTGGCTGCAGCCTATAGGTAGGTAGGTAGGCTGCAGCCTATAGGTAGGTAGGTAGATAGGCTGCAGCCTATAGGTAGGTAGGTAGATAGGCTGCAGCCTATAGGTAGGTAGGTAGA